TTTAAGACATGCTACGTTTCCGTTTACCATACCCTAGGCTATAGTCTATGAAAGACGTGAAAGCCAAGAAACCGTACAGATTCATGCGATACAGGTAAAATGTAGATTGTATTTTGTAAATTGTATTTTGCAAAGGACGAAACATCGGGATAATACAGTATTGGCAACGAACCATTCAGCCATAGTGATCTACGAGTACCACTGCGATAGCCTGGGTACCATCCTACTTGTATGCCGGGGCTCCCACACTTGCTTCCCTAAGAAGGAAGCGAGTGTGGGAGCCCCGGCATACAAGTAGGATGGTACCCAGGCTACCACTGCGACGCTCACGTGTGATAAAAAGAGAGACTTGCTCCATCTGCAATATTGAATTCAGTCATGATTATTTTGAAAGATTAAGCGACTGTGGTCGTCCTGCTGTGACTCAATGATTCATGTAGAGCTTCCATATGATCCTAATTTTGCCTCCATCCTTCGGGCTGCGAATGTTTCTTCAGAAAAGATTTGATATAAGCCCCTCTACTCCTCCGGGGGATATTTTTCCAGAATCGCTCCGGATGAAAGATCGGCAGATCGGGTGATAAAAGAGGACAGAAAAGTGGGTGGAAGCTACCGGTCCTGAGCCAAGAATAATCTCAGAGATAATATTTGTTCAAGTGGTAGCCGCGGGGACTGTAGGATTTAACATCACGAAATAAACAACGCCAAACCACGCGAGATTTGCAGGTGTGGAGGAGGAGCCATGTTTTTCTTACCCTCGTCTCGGTGAGAGAGAAAACAGGATCGGGTGTCGCCGTCGGTTCTACAGTTGACCTTCTCAGTGTCGGCATGCTGACAGGCCCGTGGAGAATCTGTTAGACCTGGAAACGAAAGACAATAGGAAACTTGCTCAGATCTAGAGTTTAGATGACCCTAGCCAACCATCCCTAAGACACACCGACTGTTACTGTTGAACTGACCATGTGTCCATCGCATGACCAAGTTAGCAGTCTTCCTCGTATGTACCGCTCTAGGTGACACATTTTTTCTTTGAATCACCTGTGGCAAAGAGGTGCCACCATTTCTTTTCGTCTTATCCAATGTAACGTCTTTCAGAGACAATGGCGTCAGTAAGCCTATGTCACCTGTCATCGACCAAGCAATGGAGAAAAATGAGTCAGACTGTCAGAATTTTCCGTTTTCTTCGTGTTTTATTACCCCAAATATCTTAAAGTTCCAAGATTCCACAACTAACTGAAATGTTCTTTGAACAGCATTATGATATGTTTGTAAAGTAGTGATCTAAGAATCAGACCACCACCAGTACTGTCCAGGTAGCCTTCTTGAGATGAACCTCAAAGGTTGTCAGGTTTCCAAGACAAGCACCCGGGCATATCCGGCCATGTGGGGAAAATTATCCGGGATGAACTACACGGATTTACCTTACCCAACCTCGACACCGCCTGTAGGGAGCTGCTCTTTGTTAGTTTTTATACCCACCGGGACAGGGCTCAAGTAGAGAATGCCTTTTTAAGATGTTATGAATGTCAGTTAATTGACTGTTCAGCCTGAGGATTTTTGTGGTTCAGTGAAACCGTAAGCTCCCGAAGGATGCGACTTAAAGGGCGCCTAGTCGGAAAGCGTCTGGCCTTGGTCATGAGATGATTAGTGCATCCCGTCAAGATACCGGTTATTGATTGATGAATGGATTGATATCACCAGGAATAATTAGATTACGTATCATGTCTGTGTGTCCACAAGGGCTATGCAGTGATCTTAGCTCCAGGGCATTGCCCTTTCTTGTGACCCTCTGATACCTAGCCTCTGCTACACAGTATCCAGTCGACATGTTTAAATCAGCATTACAAGTTCTGTATCTGTATAGCCGGTATAGCCGCCCTTCGGTGCAACACACCTGCTTCGCAGGCACGCGGCTGTACATTACACCGACTTGTTACACCTAACCCTTGAACATCTAACTCTAAACATTTTTAAAGATATCTAATGATAATGCCCCTACTGTACTTGGTGACAGCGAGTTCCACTCTGCGATAGTTCTAGGAAAGAATGAATTTTTGAACTCCTCAATCCTCAAGTTAGCAATGTTGAGAAGAGTGACAAAAATGTGTACGTTCTCCTTACTCTTAAAGTTGATTGACGATGTCCAGCCTTCTCCAGTTCAGATGTCGACCACCAAGGTCAAGGTTATCTATGATAACATCAGAGGTAGTATCGTGAATAGTTTGGTATGAAGAAGGTCAATCACTGCAACACGATACTGTCTGAGAGCAGGGTTATCACGAAAACATCAAGTACGTCAAACAATTCTACAATGGGCTCAAAACGCCTGAAATGGAACAGCCATTATACTGGCATTTCAGTCGGCAACATGATCCGGTTGAGAAAGATTCTTTAGGAATCATAGGTAGGGATTTTCAAATACCACAGTGGCAAAAACTTGAGGAATGTTCTGCAGATCATCAACAATCATACTAAGTTCGCTGATGGCACAATAATGAAGTTTGCCGTTTTTACTAGGAAATTCAGTTAAAGTTGTGGACTCTCCAACCTTCTATTACACTACGGTCACATTGATTTAATTTTATGGATGACACCCGCGCGCGCATTGATTTTCGTCTGTTATCAAAAAAGTATCACCTCCTCCGTAGTCCATGGTACCCAGGCTGCCGAAGCTCCACGGAACTCAAAAACTCAGTACAGTGCCAATTCATAAATTCCGCAAAAGGCCAGCATGTGCCGGCTTGTCGTAAACGTTAACGTCGCCATGTACTACCGCAAACTGAGCCAAACTCACAATACCAGCGCTGTATTCCTGTGGTTTAGCAGCATTTTTGGTTGGAATTTTTTTATTCGCCCGCGCACACTTGTTTGGGCGTCTTCAGGGCATGTTATCCATAAAATTAAGTCAATGCGGCCTAAATGAAAGCAGGGCAGACGTCGCCAGTGCTCCTGAGTAGTGGTCAGTTTGTGGGGCAATTGTGTTTATAAGTTGTAGGCTAACGGTCACTATCTCCGGCCCGTGTGACCTGCTTGACCTCTCGCGGGTGCATGGACAGTGTTCCATTGACCTGTTGATTTGACCAGTGTGTGTGGAAGGGTGCTGGGGACAGCTTTAATCGCAAATGAATGATTTAAAGGATTTTAACTACTCGACATTCTGTAGAGTATGCTGAAGTAGTGAGTATAAGGCCGTTATTCTGAAACAAAGTCTGGACAAGACGTTCTCAACAAAATAGAGAACAAACATGCATGCCCTTTTCGTAAGGCGCAATCAGGCCTTTTTAAATAGTCTTCGTAATCCGTAGGCAGCCTCCCCAAAAATCAACGTAATTCGTAATAGTACATCAGCCGCAAAGCGTAAAGTCGTAATCAACTCTGAGAATTTAACCTGGTTCGTAAATGGTGGCGAAAATTTTGCGTAATTCGTAATAAGTACAGGCCCTCTTTATATCATGATCAAACGGTTTGATTTACCGGTGCGAGAAAGCCTGGCAACCAGCCTTCCCCCTGGTCATTTTTGCCTTGTTGGCCATGCGTTATAGACCAGCTAAACAGGCCTGGGAGAGGCTGGTGACCAGGTAAGTGTGAGGAAGTCTCTCGTGCCTCACAGTAACTGGAGCAGCAAATCAGAAGAGTCAGGACAAGATAAGTGTAATTTCCTCGCGTCAATCAAACGGAACTGATACCGTGGAAAAATGGACAGAGTTGTTTTTTCAGGACTTTATCTTGTCTGTTGCAAAATTGAATAAAGAAGGAATGGAAAACTAATTGATAAAAAATACTCTGAAGCTTCACTATATTGTTGTTCATGGTTACCTTCTGGAAAGTCTGATGATGATGATGTTACTTTTGTGAAGATCATAGTCTTTGTTACCAACGAATTCCTATGTTTTCAACATGTTTCTGGTGTAATTTTGGTACAATTCCTGGATTTACTCTAAGAAGCTTGGTCTAACGAGTCTTAAAACGTTTTTTTGTCGTAGCAGGAGCCGTTGATGGAATTCTTGCTACTACACATAGAATTTGCTATACATGTACATTTGTATATCCGGGTGCGGAGGTAGCTACATTGTAGCAGTGTTGCACTGAACATTTTCAAAAGAGGAAACTATCAGGTCCATTTCAACTCCAGGTGACCCTATGGCCGAGTGATGATGAATGGTGTGAAACGTTGACGACAGAAACCGAACCCACCAGGAATGTGACGGCACAGTTGGCCAATATAAGCAGAAAATGAGCATAAAATTGACCCAGATTGCGCGAAATCTACGACAACTGCGTAAAATCGCACGATTTAACGCTTGGCCGCTGACTGTGCCACAGATTGTCTGATGATATCTTGAATATAGTTTCTGTTGGCTGCATGATAATGTGGAAAACACCTAAAAGAAACACTGCAAAACGTGTCATTTCGGTGTCATCAAATTCTTCAACCCTTCTCGTTGAAAATCTAGATCTTATCGACCAGTCCAAACAGAAATACGTAACCACACACTCGTAGTGAATACTGTAAGACCCTAACATTTTGTTCTCTCTATCCCTTGATTGCAGGAGTACCTGCACAAGTTTGGTTACATCAAGCCCCTGAAACAGGGTGTTCAGCACGAACCATCCGCCTGGGAGGAGGCGATAAGGTAACGCACAATATACTACATCAACATACAACATACATGTACATGTACATGACACAAGCATATACTATATCATGCACGATACACGAGGAACATGCCAGTAGCACACAGTTCTGCATCTGTATCTGTATAGCCGGTATAACCGCCCTTCGGCGCAACACACCAGCTTCGTAGGCACTCGGCGCGGCGGCAGCTGGTTATATTACACCCAACAACTTGTTACACCTAACACTTGAACATCTAACTCTAAACACTGTTTAAATCTAATGATCACGCCCCTACTCTACTGTACTTGGTGACAGCGAATTCCACTCTAGTTCTAGGAAAGAATGAGTTTTTGAACACCCCAATCCTTGATTGGTAACTCTGGTACTTGAAGACGTGGCTATTTCTTCTTGTCTGGGCTGGTATTAGGTATTAGTTATTGTAGTAATCGTATGTCTGACAGAGGGGCGTATCACTATGTTTAGGAAATTTAAATTTCATTACACAATCTTCTGAAGCAGGTACATACTCCCAGTGACCTCTGTGGAGGTCAAGGTATGCCTCTGATGGGAATGGAATTGATTGAAACCATCTTCAAGACTTTCCCATGGGAAAGTTTACCTGGTCATGACCTCATTCTAAACGAACTTTAGCAAGAGGTAGAGATTAAAAATCTCAATCAAATTGGACCCAGTCGGTGAAAAATAGGAAGATACTAATCTATAAGTAAGCTAGAAGAAGATATAGTATACAGCTTTCTTGAACAGAGAAACTTCTTATTAAAAGTTATCAGTTGGATCCCAGTCCTCCGCTATCTCTAAAGGTATGTCTTTCTCCCCATGTCCCAGTTGTCTGGTGTTGGACAGTAGAAGATTGATGTACACCGATCTAAACAACATTCTCCCGTCTTCTGTTCTAATTCCTTTGACCACGCTGATCACGTAGACCATATGAAAACAAGGCCCTCTAATCTCAGTAGTGAAACAAGAGGACGCTGTGTGTGTCATCCCTAATGACAGTCAGGCACTGTCTGTAATCTTCTCGCTTAAAAACGCTGTCTTTTATCTCTAACGTGACAAGAGAATGCTACATCGCCTTCTTCTCAGAGAAACGGTTTCCGAATCCTTTCCTGTTTGTCGTCTCGTGTATCACAACTTGTCATCGACAGAATATGGTTTAAATTTAGAGCCTGTATTTCTCTAATCCGGTCAAATGCACCAGCCTGGAACGGCCTAGGATATATATTGAGAAGAAACTGTATCTAGAGTCTGTGAGTCCTACAACATGTAATTGATAGTGTTCGAAGTTTTCCACTATAATTTTCGAAAACAGGACATCAGTGATGAGTTACCAGGCCACTAAGATAATACTGATACAATGATAACGACAGCTGAACCAATTTTTAGAACAGTACATGCTTTCTTTGTGACAGAATGATTGCTAGCCTAAAACAGGAGTTTCTTAGCCATAAGTTTTTGGAAATGTCAGGCGAGCTGCCATGCAAACTTGACCTTGGCTGTTGATTTATGCCAGGAGAACTGAAGGTCAAGTTCGATAACGTGGGTGGCGGGAAAAAGCTGCCAACGGTAGGCCGTGTCGTATCCAAGCTAGAGGGACGACGTGTTGGATTTTGACTGACAGGAAACTACGGACGTGATTTGACCCCCGTTTCCGAATTCCGTTGTGCATCGTTGATTCTTGGCGTAGACGGTTGTACCGGTGTGTGTCATACAATATTCTAGCTTCCACCTGTTTCTGAAACATACTAGTAGTCAACCGAAAGGGCCAGACTGGCCTTGTCAGGGATTTGCTGGAAGTCATAGTGCAAATCTGATGAAGATATAAAAGCTTAGTACACAATGTAACTTTTAGGCATTGTCCGTCATATTGGATGGTTACATCTTGAGGTTTAGATTCATTTGCTAACACATACACATTTATAAATCTGAATTTCAAGCTCACCCAACAGGTATGGCGTACAGTGTATCGATAAGCTACAAATTACACGTTTCTTATGATTTTAGGGACTTCCAGCTGATGTCCAACCTCCCAGTCACTGGTCAGCTCGACTCGCCAACCGTCAAGAAAATGAAACAGCCTCGTTGTGGCGTCGAAGACAACGTCGGCACGGGGCTTCTGGGAAAGGGTGAAAGGTCATCAACGTCAGACATGCGCAGTAGGTTCGAGGATGACAGGCGGAGAACCAAAAGGTACACACTTCAAGGTATAAACAGTATATATACTGAGTATATTCAACGTTAAGTCCTTAGAAACATTTATTTCAACAAAACACTGGTGTCTTTTTTTACATTCAGTAGGACGTCAACTTTGAACATTACCAAAGAAATTTTTGTTAAATATAATGAATAGCATCTTCAATGAAGCACCTTGAACATATGAAAATGTAGCTAGTTAGTATAGTATTTGGACCATGGACATCTAATTTCTGCAGTTATGCTTTTTCCCCTCATGTACATTTCTGTCAGTTTTGATTTTCGTTTCATTAATTTATTTTCTTTCCTATGAAAAAACTGAACTGCCATTCATGTTTTGCGCCGTTACGTGGTTTTGTCGGCCTCCTCAGGTGAGAAGTGGACTAAAACTCACCTGACGTACTATATCGTCAACAACGCCAGCAGTCTGCCGTACCAAGACGTCAGGGCGATCCTCAACAGGGCTGTCCAGGTAAGAGTCTCTCTCTCTCTCCCTCCCTCCCTCCCTCCTCTCTCTCTCTCTCTGTCTCTCTCCCCTCTCTCCCTCTTTCTCTCAGTCTCTCACTCTCAATCTCACTCTCTCTGTCTCTCTGCCTCTCTCAGTCTCTCTCTCTCTCTCTCTCTCAGTCTCTCTCTCTCTGTGCGTGTGCAAAGCTTTGGTGTGGATGCCTGCGTGCGTGCGTGTTTGCGTGAATGTGTTCTTACGTACATTGTCTAACTTACAGCACATTTTACGATTCTTGTCTGTTGTTAGAAAGCGCCTGATTTTGTTTATTCGCAGGTGTGGGCAGACGTTTCACCTCTGACGTTTGAAGAGAAGCATGACGGTTGGGCGGACCTCTACATTTACTTCGCCCGGGGAGAGCACACGGACGGCCCGGAGAACGCATTCGATGGCCCCGGTAAATCAAATGTATAAAATCTTTTTTGAAGGCGAAATAAAGGGGTAGAATTTGCATTCCTATGGTATAGTATGGAAATACATTGACGTTCATTTTGAAAAAGAAAGAAGATAGCTATAGCTATAGCTGTAGCTGTTTTGAAAGACAATAGCTATATACCGCGTACCGATGAGCAATATTGACCTACACTAGTCAAATGTGGTATTTTTGTTCTAACTGTTCTTGCTTTCTAGAAATCCAATAACGATTCTTTCCTTTTTTTATCATTAAGTTATTCTGATTCTTTTTCCAATAATGCTTCTTTTCTTAGTTGCTAATATCGTTCTGTCACACCTGTTTTGATTGACAGGTGGCATTCTGGGCCACGCCTTCTTCCCGACCAATGGCCACGCCCACTTTGATGACGAGGAGAAGTGGACCAGTGAGGGGAAGGACGGGAAGAACCTGTTCATGGTGGCGGCTCACGAGTTCGGCCACACCCTGGGACTGGCCCACTCTAACGTGGAGGAGTCCCTCATGTCTCCGTACTACCAGGACTATAAAACAGACTTCAAGATGCCATTCGATGACGTCATGGCCATTCAGCAGTTGTATGGTAAGGAGTCTTTTTTTGGCGACGCCTCAGGTACTGGTACTGTTTGAGCCATGATTCTATCGAGTTTGAGAGAAACATATTGTACACTAGCCTCTACCAGGCACCGCGGATCGCTGGAAAAATAGTAGAAATTGGCCAAAATAAAGGGATAGTATACCAGGGGAGTTAGTCGGCCAGAGAGGATTCAATATGCGACCCACGGGTCTTCTGTAATGCTCGGCATAAGATTTTACCCATGTCACATGTCATCGGAGAATGGGCCAAACGATAGAAATCTGTTATCATTTTGTTAATTTTCCTGCATAAGGTTGGGAAGTCAATTGAGTTCTCTTACACAATCCATTTACATTGTACATTTGTACCTGATAACGTTTCGGTAATCTCTCAAAGATTGACTAATTTCGCGCATCTTCATCTTAACCCCGTCAGGTAAGGTTGACGCCGACAGGTACTCCGCTAACTACCTGCCCCCTGCCGGCCCCACCCCGCCTCTCAACGACGGAACAAACTCCATCAAACCGCACCTCAGACCAACGCGCAAGCGCAAGAGGGCTCCCAACGGCTGCAAGGCCAAATTCGACGCCATCTTTTTAGGTACTACTGTGTCCTACAATACTGATAAGCCAGTGTAAAACTCAAGGTCGCACATGCATAGTGGTCTAATGTAAATGTTTAAGGCCCCTAGTATGTAAACAAATAAAGGCCAAGAGCCTTAAACTTTGACCTTAGACCACAATGAATTACGATTACAAATGCGCATTCGGAACTGTGAATGGGCTTATTACCAGAATGAAAAGCCTCAATTTTTAGCGGTCTCTACTTTTCGTGTTCTTTTACATTTTGAAGCACTGTTTTTTTTCTTTTCATTTTTCCATTCTTTTGCTGTTGTTTGTGCTAACTGAATTTGTTGTTTACCATAATATTTCACAGGTAAACAAGGACAAACTTTTGCCTTCCGCGACAAACACTTTTGGCTGATCGACGATGACGGCATCTCGTTTGGCTACCCGAAGATGATCAGGAAACAGTGGCCCGGCCTGAAGGGACACATAGACGCCGCCTTCACGTCAATCTACACCAACAAAACCTACTTCTTCAGGGGTACGTTTGTTCGGTCGATAGGTTACAACAATAGACCGATATCCTGACTGTCAATCATAATCAACAGTTCAGCCAATGAGAGAATGGTCGTATGTTCGTCATATGGCTTTCTCTATTTTTGGTTCGCACTCTACGTTTTGAAGAGGATGGGCGGGTCTAGGGAATCGGTTTATTGTTGTTTCAAGTACCTAACAATGCTAGTATAACACACAGAAATGACAGTTACATGTATGTCAGGCAGACGAGATAACCAAGAAATGTGCTGCTCTCTCCACTTTCTTCCTTAAGACAAGATAAATACTACATTTAGTATGAAAAATACATGTGGTTTATGCATGCTCCGTCAATCTTTATAAAAGAGAACATGCAACACAAAAGTGATAAAACAGTGCGTATTTTGTGCATGTGGGACATCGCCACATGTCAGCCTCTCCTCCTGAAACATGTTCCCTGGTCTCAATCCCGTATCGCCCTGACGTCCAGCTGTGCTCGTCAAACCGGTAAGACGTAAATTGAAGATTACAGCCTTGGCCGCGCCGCCATGCCCCCTAGCGGGCCGGTCAAGTTGCAGGGCAGATCGGGGTCTCGATAAGGCGTCCCCATGTATCCACCGTGTACTTGTACCTATGAAGGAAAGCCGCAGGCTTCTGCCAACACGAAAAATTAAGCCACGGTAAAGTGGTGTGTCTAATGGGAGATGACAGAGGTGGTGGCGAGGCAGACGACATTTCGGCGGGGCGTCTCTCTCTGTGTGTGATGATGGCGACTGCTTCGTTAGCGTTACTTTTCTGGGTGAAAAAGCACCGAATGGTAGTAATGGTATTACATGTATATCGTTACTCAAAATAACATTGATGCATGAATGCTGACAGGCTCGAAGATCTAAGAAAAGAGGAGAATCTGACGAGTACTATTTACAAATTCCAGCAAGGTTTCTTCAGCTGAAACAAACATGCGATTTTCCTTGTAGATCTAGATATTTCTTAATTTTGCAAGGTGTGACGTGTTGAAATAGTCTCGTATCTTTCCCCCCCAATGCTAGGCCGTAAGATGTGGAGATTTGACGGCTTCACCCTGGACCACGGCTACCCGAAGTCGACGGCGCGCACCGGCCTTCCCTTCAAACCCGACGCCGCCTTCGTGTGGGGAGGGAACGGCCAAGTCTACGTCTTCAAGGGCTCGGAATTCTGGCAGTTCAACGAGGTCACGGGGAGAGCGGACCCGGGGTTCCCGCGGAAGATTCGCGCCACATGGCTGGGCATCGCCAACAACATCAACGCCGCGCTCCAGTGGAGGAACGGACGGACTTACTTCTTCAAGGGGGACAGGTACTGGAGGTTCGATGACGTCATGAGGAGGAAAGCCAGGGGTTACCCGAGGTCAAAGGCGCAGGCCTGGATGGGGTGTGCGCGGGCGGATCCATGAGGAAGACTCCTTCGTTCTAGATCAACGTGAATGATTCTCTACAAATTACAGTAATCTATAGGACGAATAGAAGTTTGGCGTAAATATGATACCTGTATACATATTAAAGTATAGGAGGGAGGGGGTGGGGGGTGGGCATCGTTCCCATCATGTTTCACATTGTAAAGTAAGTTGGATTAGAAGTCAGAAGTATCCGTCCTGGCTCAACTTATGGCTAGCTACTAATAATATCCGACGCCGATAGAACTGTAAAACATTCTCCGTCTTTCGTAACTGCATTAGCCGTTGCGGTTGCAAATCTACTTATGGCAGTCCATTCAAAAAGTGAATGAATTCGAAAAAGAAGTAGTAGGGCGATACGTATGCATTGCATACTGCTGAAAAGACACACGAGGGAAACATCCTGAAATATCCAAACCGATGACAGGAGAGATGAATACATTTCCTGTTAAAGTTCCTTTCTTTCGTGCAGGTTGGCAGAAAATGGGAAATAGACGATATATGATTAAGACTAGTTTTAGTTTGTGGAGTCACGGGCCACCCACAATGCTGCGAACTTGGCCGAGGTTGTTTTGAAACTCTACGCTTCTGTTCTGTGGCCACAGAGGAAATCGCACACGATACGGGAAGGAGAAAAGAAAGAACTGCTTCATGTCAGGAAAACGAATGTTTGGATTCGTGCCACTTGCCAATAGCAACGTTTCCCCTTGCAAATACAACTTGGGACTTCGGATTTAATTAAAAACATACCATGTCAGTGTACGGGGTATGGAGAAGGTTTCCTTCATTCAATTAGTACGGGGTAAAAATGTAGATCTACGGTGTACACTTTTCCCTAAAGACTGAACACGTCTGGTGTGTGCCAATTCTATGATGTACGGTAAAAATACTGGGACATAGTTTTATTCGTTAGCCTATAAAGAGTAACATTGATCTTTATGTATGATTTTATCAGCTATCATGTAACAAAGTTATCTTTTTCTCCTGCTGCTGAACTTGGATAGAAGAATTTCGACAGTATCAAGTTTGATTAGATTCCTAGAACTAATAAATAATTAAGTATTGATATTGCCTATAGCACAGTGCCAAGCTCGTCACTTATCATAAACGTATGTCCAATTAATTGATTAATATTTAACACTACTTCGCTATATAAAATGTGACGATGTACATATGTGTTGAATACAGGTATATAGCATTATTTTGTATTAACTAATACTGATAAGTGCAGTACCGCGTACAGAATTCATCGCAAAAGGATCGGACTGGATGTTGTGTTCTCTCAAACATAGGTGTGAACAAAGCGCTTGGTAAAAAAAAACGGTCCTGACTCCTGAACATTGTTGTTGTAAATGTAGATTTAACATTTGATGTTGTATAGTTAATGTTGTGGGTATGGGAGAATAAACTTGCTGGTTGTGTATGAATCTATCGTTTCTATACTTCTTTTCGAAGCTGTGAGTCCAAGAGGGAATATTCGAAGTAGTGCATATCTATATATGATATTCCCGAAAATTGTTTCATCAGGTTGGTAAAGTATAGGATATGGATATAGGGGTTTTCTTCTACACAACCAAGACTAGCTACATATAGCGGTGAGAAGCAGAATTCCAGTCAGAAGCTCTGAGGAAGGTGTCTGATTGACACCGAAACGTCAGCAGGTACGAATATTTGGTTGTGTAGAAGAAAACTCCTATATCCTAGGTATGATATTGTAGGTTAGTCGTGCAATGTCTTAATGCCACAGAAGTGTGTGAAGATACTAAGTATGTAGAGAGGAGCCAAACGAAAGAAGTAGCTTTCTTCTTTCAAGTCGAACAGAACACAGCTGCCACCAGTTCTGCGGCACGAGCCTAGCGTGCTGTGTTCAAGGTTGAGAGCTCGAGAGAAAAAATATATCACTTTTTCGTCAACATTTCGTCAGGACGGCTGCCAGGAATCTGCGGCGCCGAATTTTCTGGTCCTAATTATGAGAAGAGACGGAAGCTGAGTCGGGCTTTGGTTTTCATTAGGACCGGGCGGGGCTCAAAGGCTGCAATCATCAAATGGTCCTGATCCGATCACGCTAGGTGGGAGACCTTTAATATACTCCGTCACTCGGACAGGGGAGGGGACACGGGAGAGAGATAAATATGGGCAGGTCAGGGGTCAAAACACTTAGGACAGGCATCTGTCGGTTGTCGGAAGGGGAGAGGCTGGAAAAACCTCGCAGGGATGATCAGTGGGGTGATAGAAGGGGTGAAAATATTCAGGGTATGGACGGAAGGGGGCAAGGGCCTTAGGGGAGGGTTAGGTAGTATCGATGTGATGTCTGATTATTGCATGAAAAATATGTATGGAATTTTGTTATAAAAATAATATATTAGATAATCAAAATTATAACGGAAAGGGAAGAAAAATCTTTTCCACAAAATGTAACGAGCTTCAGCTTGATGATTGAAGGGAAAGAATACTTCCATATATTCTAGCTGAGTCTCTCTAGGTACAGTACAAAGTTTTGTGAAAACAATTATATTTCAAAGGCTTATGCCAAAATTAGCCGGTATTCTTTGTCCATTTCGATAACCTTTCAATGACACACGTTTAGGTTTGTGCTTATTTACATCAACAGTATTGTACTCTTCTTCGTTGTAAAGCAAAGCCGGGCCATTTCGCTAATCTTTCAATGACACACATTTAGGGTTGTGCGACAACGTCTTCCATCTCTTCATAGCACAGTGCAGTAGTGTCGCCTAGCGGCATAAATGCGAAGTACTTCCATTATGTTGAGAGCATTGCGTTCGTGCGTGTCTGGCCGTATTTGGCGCAGCCTACAGTGGGCGTACCCTGCGGCATATTCGTCATTGTCTTCACGTCTTGGTGCGATTTGATGAAGGCAAGGGGGTGTTGGATTCCAGTTCTCATGTTACAACTTTTGTCAACTCAAGAAGAACCAAAGCTTCTGTAAATTTTGCTTGGTCCAGAGAACACTTGACACGTGAAGTCCAGCCAGGGACCTTCTCCTGCAGAGCTTGTCAACGAGACAGAACCATTACTTACTTTCAGACCATCATTTAACGCCAAAAAAGAACCTTTTCCACCTGTCGTATGTTTCTACTACGTCACTGCAGATCGCGTGCTCGACACCCGGTTCACCTTTTGACCTTTTTTGGACGATATCATTTTTTTACAGGGGTGCCAATATGTCCCCTTTCATAAAATTGATATATGCACAGGTTTTAATCGGTCAATTCTACTTAAATATCCATATTCGAGTATGTGTAATGCTTTGGTATGATTAATCATGGACGAAAAATGATAAACTTAACTGTGACATCATTACCCATCTTTCTGGCATAGTCCATCACGTGACACCCCCAGACGCCGCCATTCCAGCACCACAAGGGCAAACATGGTAAGACGTGTGACACAGTCTGGGTGATTATGGTTGCGAAATCTTGCCATTTTCTCGGCCTATCCTTCACGGATCTCACAACTAATGATGTCGTCTTCTCTTTCAGACCACATACACGGACAAGGGCGCCAAGGTTAGTCCTAAATCGCAGCAAAAGTTCTTTATACAAGGTTTTCTTGCGTTCCCCGATCGATTTCGTGGCATTGGTAGACCAACGTATAACACGTTGAAGTTGGCTTCGAGTTTTATCTAAAACAGATTTACTCTTCTTTTTTCAGCCGGAGGCCGGCAAATTTGTCGCCTTCGATCACATAACCTTCTGGGTTGGAAATGCCATGCAGGTAAGTGTACTGGCTTTGTAAATTGCAGTGTTAATATTTTTCCGATAATAATCAGTTGTGTATGTGAAAATGGTACATTCCAAGATGGCGCGAGGCACGTACGCCCTTGTCGCTGATTGGCTGAGAAGGGAGGTGTGTCCAGGGTGTGTCATAATTCATCTGGGCTAATCCATTCAACTAAGGGATGAGAAGATCTTTTTTTCATTTCCGAAAGTGTGATTGAATGCTTGATCAATTGTATTTGAACATGGTATATCCCAAAATGGTACCACATAGGCTCTTGTCACTGATTGGCTGAGGATGGGGGCGTGTCCAAGGTGTGTCATAATTCATCATGGAGAATCCAGTCAATATGTTATATTGTTTAACAACCTCCAAAGTGGAAAAAGTGCAAAAGTCTCGTGTGAATAAGACCACATGTCTGTAACTTTCGCAGGTTTACGTTCCAAAGTGATTGGTCATTTCTTGTCCTGACGAAGGCAACAGTGGTCATTGGAAATTTGATCCTTGCATGTGTTCCCTTGTGTTGGAATAAAGTTCAGCATTGTACTGTGATTACTATACCAACACAAATGCGAACTTCCATGTTACAAAAGCTGTAACATGATTGACTGTGTGTTTATCTCAGGCAGCGTCCTGGTACTGTACGCGGATGGGTTTCACGCCGTACTGCTACAAGGGTCTGGAGACCGGCAGTCGGGAGGTGGTGTCTCATGCTGTGAAGCAGGGAGACGTAAGGACGCTAACTTCTCCATCTGTTCATGAAGCGCTCATTTTTTAATTTAACAGGATGAATTATGATCTCCAAGCAGCTGTGGTGTTAAAAAATGGTAATTTTTTTAATAGTCAGAAAGTATTTTTACGTGCAAATCTTATATAATCATGTGCATTTTGTACATTGCGTCACTTTGGAGCCCTGCTCAACAATCTTTCACCCCAATATCTGCTTGGAGATTAAGTGAAAATTAGTTTAACTTGAAGTCTCCCATCTCATGATTGGAAGATTTCAGTATCAGATTCAAAACAAATAAATGTTGTTATGAAGAGGAGGAGAACCATATCTTACATTTAGGTTAAGTATGTAGATTTGACGTCCCTTTGCTTTTCTGTCTTTAAGTTAATTGATGTTCAGTTGTTTTCTCTGTGTTTTCCTCTGTTTTCCTAACCCTTTTCATCGAAACAAATGCAGGGAAAAGTAAGAATTTTCCATTCTCTCAACCTGACTTTATCATTTACTAAAATTGACTACTCTGTCTTAGGTTTCCTATCTATCTTGTACTTGGGAAGGTTTTAGTATTCACAACAAAAAAGTTTACCATTTTGATTGATAAAATTTGATTCAAGCCCTTATATTTGATTATTTTTGTATTATATTTTGATTTGCATTTTGTTTTGATTTTGTATTATATTTTGGTTTGATTTGTAGTCCGTGACCCCGCCCTCACCCTCGACCTTGTTGAAAAGCGGTCATATGTATGTACCGAACAAGCTTTCGAGTTTAAATAAAGGCTTACTACTACTACTACTACATTATCTATATTGTCTAAAAGTATCTTTTTCACATGTCTCCCATACTTTTAACCTAATTTTTGATGTCTCTCCCACAGATTGTGTTTGTGTTCCAGTCTGCCTTAAACCCAGGAAATGAAGGTTTGACTACAGTATTTGTTGATTGCACTTGTTGTCTACCTTTAAATCCTCTATTGAAATATGTGTGGTAGCTACCTCAAAATTTACCATCCATCCATAGGTCTGACTAAATCAGTGTATGTCTTGTTTTTAATCAGAAATGGGGGATCACTTGGTCAAGCATGGTGATGGAGTAAAAGATGTCTCCTTCAGTGTAGAAGACCTGGAGGCCATTGTCAAGGTGAGATAACCACTAACAAACTATAAAAAAAGGAAAAAAGTCTGTTAGTTGAACCATGATTGTACATTATAATAAATGATGACAATATATTATGTTCCAAATATGTAGGCTAAGACAATAGTGATGCATAATTTTGCCATTTTTACACGTGTTGTTTTTATCCTTAGTCTGCCAAACAGCGCGGTGCGGAGGTGGTGAAGGATATCTGGGAGGAGTCGGATGATGGCGGCACTGTCAGATTTGCAACTGTCCAAACGGTAAGTGTGCTTAACACCTCACAATCATTCCTCTAACATGGCACAAATGCCATTGTATGAAAAGCCTGTAATGTGTGCTGTCTTTTCTAAAGAGGTTAAGGATATCAATATATATGTACACTGTATATCTTAAGGAAAAGCCAGTTTCCTCCATGTTGCCTATTACCATCATACTTTACTACATTTTAATTGACAATACTATGTGTTATGTTGACAGTATGGTGACACAACTCATACGTTTGTGGAGAGAGGAAGCTTCAGTGGACTGTTCCTGCCTGGATACCGGAAACCCCTGTACTCACAGGACACACTGCTGGACAAACTGTAAGAACATGGTTTCTTCTCCTCCTTTTTCAAGCATGTACATTGGTACAGTAGTTTTTGTCTGACAGTATATATGAAAACAACAAGAAATAGTTATGCCAAGGACATTATACTGTATAATGTCCTTGGTTATGCCTTCAAGTACCAGAGTTATCCACCAAGGATTGAGGTGTTAAAAAACTATTGCAGAGTGGAACTCGCTGCCGCCAAGTACAGTAGGGACATTATCATAGATAGCTTTAAACAGAGTTAGATGTTCAAGGGTTAGGTGTAACAAGTCGTTCGGTGTAATATACATAATGTAGTCAGCTGCTGCTGTGCCGTGAGCCTGCAAAGCTGGTGTGTTACACCGGAAGACGGTTATACTGGCTATACAGATACAGATGTAGGTTTTGAATTCTAGATTTTCTTTCCAATAGTGGTGAATAATTACTCTGTGTAACAAAAACCCACACTGTCTTCTACTGCTTGCTTTAGAGAATGTGGCAGCCAATCTATGAAAAGTTTGTCCATGTACAAGTATTACTAAAAAACCTCCTCTCCTTTTGTATTCATCCACAGGCCAGACATTGGACTGAAGTTTATTGACCATGTCGTGGGGAACCAACCTGATGAGGAGATGACATCAGTTGCAAACTGGTAAGTAAATAATTAATTTTTTTTTCATTTACCATCATTCTGTTCACAACAAAATGGCCTCAAGAATTCTGGAGAATGTCAGAAAGGTCTGGATACAAAACTGCAAGAAAAAGTATCAAGACACATGAAGTTTTTCTTCATTTAAAGCATTTACTGTATGTGTCTAAGGTCTTGCTCATTTTCCATGTCCTGAAATGTATTTGGCGTCCTCTGACACAGGTATGAGAAGACTCTACAATTCCATCGCTTCTGGTCCGTGGACGACAGTCAGATCCACACACAGTACAGTGCCCTCCGGTCCATCGTGGTCACTAACTTCGAGGAAACCATCAAAATGCCCATCAACGAACCCGCAACTGGCAAGAGGAAGAGTCAGATCCAGGTGAGTCCCCTTTTGTGAGAAACTGTACTATGGTTAGTCTTTGATATTCGCTTGTATTACGGTATACTGTTTAGAGGATTCACGTGAGCGACCTGTACCTAAACAATTTTACAGGTACAGTTGCAATGTAACAGCTCTATACATCTTTCTTGAACTTCTTTGGTATCTTCACAGGAATATGTGGACTACTATGGCGGAGCAGGAGTTCAGCATATTGCTCTGAACACAAGTGACATCATCACCACTGTAAGCAAATGCTTTACTCTCTACAGTAGAAATAAGTATTTCTATTTTTTTTCTGATGGAGTTGTAGTAGCCAGTGATTGTCACTTTGTCAGCCAATATCATTTTCTCCAACTTAGTCATTGATTCTACAATGGTAATTTTTATTGCAAAAAGAATGACATTTTTTTATTTCTGTTTTTGATGCTGGTAAGATACTAGTACTTTAATGCAATGTTGTCTCCTGTCTGTAGATCACTAACCTGCGTGAGCGAGGAATGAACTTCCTGATTGTGCCAAAGACGTACTACAAGAACCTCCGTGAGCGTCTCAAGACTGCCAAGATCAAAGTGGAAGAGTCGCTGGATGTCATCGAGGTTTGCAGAGGATTTTAGATGTTGAATTTCATGATGCAACGCTTAAGCATCTTCCATTTAACTGTGTGTAGATTGTTTGTGTTTGTTTCGTATAATTGTGGCCCTCCCTAAACACGGGACCTCTACTTAACGTCCTATCCAAGGGACGTCCCTAACAGAAGCTAGGTACTCATTTCCACCTGGGTGAAGTAAGGAAAATCGTGTAAAGTGCCTTTGCCAAGGACACAAGATCAGTGACATGAGTTAGGATTCGAACCCAGGACCAATTGGTCATGAGTCGAACATGCTACCGTTTACACCACATGGCCCCTACACGTTTTAAAGCCATACCCGGTATCAGTGAAGTAGACAGAAGCTGACTGCCATGGTGGTATCCCTATCTGCCAGAATTTGGTACAGAGATACTGATGATTGTTTGTTTTGTATTTCTGTTTAGAAACTGCACATCCTGATTGACTTTGACGACAACGGCTACCTGCTGCAGATCTTCACTAAGCCAGTAGAAGATCGTCCTACTCTGTTCCTGGAGGTCATCCAAAGGCACAACCACACGGTGGGTTACTGTAGGATGCAGGTCTTATTGTCTAGTTGTACAGGTATACGTACTTCCCATGTACACTGTAACATTGTTGTATAGGGCAACAGTTGGTCACAATTCTACCAGCAAGCACTATGCCAGTTTAAAGGCTTTTCAGTTCAGGTAGCTATATAAGATGTAAATAACAATATGGATGTCATTTGAGTTATATCTTGCTTTGTAAGATTTTAGGACAGTTATGACTGTCTTTTTGTCATGTACCGGTAGTACATATACATACATTTTGTACATGTATCATTTAATGCACCTTCCTTGATTCTGCAGGGATTCGGGGTGGGCAACTTCAAGTCGCTCTTCGAAGCCATTGAAGCCGACCAGGAAGCCAGAGGCAACCTGTGAGGACCCCGCCCCGTCCTTACCCACAATCCTCCCTCCACTGGGCCCCGCAACAAGCAACTAGAAGTATCAGACTAGACATATCTAGAACGTTGAAAACAACATGAAGAATCAGCCAATCAGCTTATAGTTGGCTTTGAAAACAACATGAAGAATCAGCCAATCAGCTTCTAGTTGGCTTTGAAAGTCATGAATAATCAGCCAATCAGCTTATAGTTGGCTGTGATTGAGAGTATGATTGGCACTGGTGTGTTTTAGTGATGTAGTGTACCTACCTTGCAGACTGTAAAGCCACACCCTATCAGGAATATATTGTGAAAATGTAGTTATCGGTACCTGCATGTAGGTATCCAATCGTGTGCGTTCTTACTAATTTGAACTGGAGGAGAGCAGGACAATAATGTGTGTGCTACTTTGATTGGTGAAAAAGATAATCATATAGAGATTTAGTAAGGTTGACACTGAGTGTGCTGATGATTTGAGATTGGTTTGAACTTATTGAAATTATTTCCTTTCAGTCCATATTGAGCTGCTAGTATGCTAACTGCTATGCTAACTAATATGATACATGTATTTAGACGTAAGACAGGAATTAGGCCTTTTCTTGTTTAAACTGTGATGTCTTGTACTGGCAATTGCATTTGACTCCGGTTACAAAATTAGCAATAAGACTTCAGTGGGTATTTAAAGTAAAATAACAATAGACCAGAGTGTATTGTGGTGAAATCTTGTAAAAAAGGTGTGCTTTCCTTTCATCTTTAACATGCACTTATCTTTGGTAGTATGCACACAACACTGTTGCAATGTACAAATGTATGTAGTGTGGTGCCTGTGAATTCCTGCACGATAAATACTAAAAGTTTGCTGTACATGCAGCACTATTGAAGAGACTATTAAACATTACACTTGTGTAGTTGTTACTGATATGGGAGCAGAAAGATCTTTACCACCAATAAAAGTTGCAAGTGTTGAAACTAAGCAGTTGTCTCTTGTTTGTCATACACAATTACCAGAAGCTATCGAATTTATAAAGGATCTTTCGTACTTGTGCCATCTTTATAATTGGTAAAATGTGACTGAGGCTGAAGCCTAAAGTAAAATGCAGCACATATGCAAAAAGAAACATACGTATGGGACAAGACTAATTATTTATGTGAGTAGTCTTTTTGTTTTCTAGGGAGGAACCAATGATTGAGTTCTGCTACCAATGATTTGATGACCTTGTTTAATAATAATAACTTTATTGCACAACAGTTGTACATGGTACAAAGTATGGCAAAACTTATCTATAAACTTAACTATGGACTAAACTAACTTTAATAGGAACAATGAGATGTTTAATTGTAAAAGTAGGTCTGTGATCGACTTGTTATGGTTTTCACAAGTAGAACTATATATACTCAACAATTTTTTCATTGTATGATGCCAAATCAAGGTTCCCTGAAGTTGGAAAGGAGAAGGAAGGATCAGGAAGAAAACCGCCTTAGCTGACAGTTTGCTAACTCGTAAATTGCAGGTCGTCATCTGCACGCGATGGGGCGCTTCTAATCAGCCACCAAAAGGGAGCCAACTCAATTGTGCATAGTCCCTTCCGTTCTAGGATCTTCTAGCAGTAACATAGATGGCCTTGACAAGGTCAGAAACGATATATATGCTCGGTTTCTGATCGGTTTGGCAGATCAAAAGTTTCCTCATAAGGCTCCGAACAGATTTAGATAATTTTGGAAATACATTACGTTTACCGTGAACATGAGCATTCAAATAGAAGAACAACCAAATGTTACAATTAAATAAAGACCGACAAATAAAAGAAAAACATGGGAAAATTAATGTTAACTATAGATAATACTAATTCCAATTGGAAAGGAAGCAGCTTGAGGCCACATTTGCCTTTGGCTATTATGATCTTATGATTACAAGCAGCTGATCCATTCACCACTTTCTGTAAGAATACGGAAGATAACCTCCTTGGTACAATCCCTTTTTAACCTCCTTTGGGACAACCAAGGTAATGACGTCACGAGGACAAAGGACATGTACATGTAATTTGAAACCACAAGTGAAAGTGACGCGTCGGCGCGTGCGCAGAGCACTCACCCATCATGGCGGCTTATTTGATGATGACTTCCGGGTCGGCTGCCTTTCCGCTGCTCATTTAGTGAAGAATAAACCGTAAGTTCTTCAATTGACTCTTGCAACTGCAATTGAGGTATCACTGCTACACTTAAGGAAAATTTGAGTTCTTAAGAGCTCTTTTGTGTGGAGTTAGGCAGAATAGAGCGTATTGACAGTTAACGGTGCGATACAGTATATTTACACAGAACTACATTTGTAGCAACGTACGTTGAATTGCGAAGATATCCGCAAGGGGGTTTTGAATTACGAGCAAATAAACTTGTGCGTTGCAGGGGTCTCGGATGACTTGTTATGTTGAACTTGTTGGGGAACCTGAGCAGCAGATTAGTTAAGAAGAAGGAGAATCACATGGGCAATGCTTCCACCATGGCTGCAGAAGGCATCCAGCTAGCCGAGGACGGGGTTCAAACCTGGGACAAACTCACCATGCTGTCTGGTAAGGTTCAAACCCTGGACTCTGAAGTCGACCAGAACACTGCAGTCCTGATGGGACACATCGAGAAGCTAAAGTCCTCCGACGAAGCCGTACAAAAGCAGGCGCTGAAGGACATATACGCTCTCGTCGAGAAAGCATGGCGTACCCCGGGGTACGGTCGGGACCTCGCGTATAGCCTCTGCGACACAATTCGTCTGTATGGGGTGTTGGATTACCTTCTTGAACATTGCATGTCTTCCTCCACAAACAAGGAATTGGCCTATGAATGCGCACATCTCTTAGAACAGATCCTGACGCCCAACAACCGAGACCGCGTGGTGAAGTCAGGGTTCGAGGCTGTGGTTAAGTTAGCGTGCAGTCAAGATGACACTGATCTCGTGCGAATTGGAACAGGCCTTCTGGAGAACATGTTTAAGCACTCCGCAGACACCTGTACCAAAGTGATACAACTGGGCGGGCTAAACGCGATCATTCGCAACTGTCGCGAGAACGACAAGTGGACGCTGCGACACTGTGCAGCGGCACTCGCCAACTGCGCGATGTACGGTGGCGTGACCAATCACGTGGCAATGGTGGACCACAAGGCTCCAGAGTGGTTATTTCCGCTTGCGTTTTCTGACGATGAGTTTGTACGATATTACGCGTGCTTGAGTATATGTGTCCTAGCAGCGAACAGAGAAGTAGAGAGGGCCGTCACCGACTCAGACACGTTAAGTCTAGTTGAACCGTTCGTGACATCACACGACCCGGAGGAGTTTGCTCGCAGCGACTGGACACACGCCCAAGGGCGGTCGGACGACTGGCTGGAGCGACTCATCCCACTCTTACAGAGCAGCCAGGAAGAGGCGCAATGTCTCGCCACATTCCACTTCGCTATGGAAGCAGGGATCAAGAAAGCCCAAGAAAGAATTAAGGTATATACATGTTATGTAGCATACATGCACACAGGCACGCGCACATATGCACGCACGCACATGCACATGCTTGCACACACGCATGTCTACACACATGCACACACACACACAGATATATACAGTGGCAACTTTCTTTTTCAAATTACATTTTCTTAAAAGACTTAACATGTCATTCAAAAGGTGCAGTGGCTCATATGTTGGTATTTAGCCAGGTAAGAAATGATATAAATGTGGACCTACAACATTTCACAATATTACATGGCTGTTTTTAAAAAGTGTTTTGCAGCACAGTGAGACTTATAGGTCACACATACACAATACATTTATTTCTATGGGATTATTAAATATTAACCACACATGTACCTGGCCAGGTTACGGGGTCATAGTTAGCAGGGTTGTAAAAATTCCATTAAAACTAATAATTGTACTATCTATAGTAAGGGGTAACTGTTTTAGATTTTGTAAATAGAATTGTATGTTTATCTTTATTTTTGCATTATAAAACTAATATTATTATTAAAAGGATTTCTAAATCTTTTTGCACCTGTATATAGATTGTGTTGAGTAAAATTGAAGTCATTTCATGAAAATCTAAAATATCTACAAAATTTCCTGGAATTTTTATGAATATCAAAAGTTGTCCCTAAACTGTCAAACCTGATGATTTATGATAAAGATGTGAATATTTCAACTGGTGCAAAGAATGATGTAACTACCACACATTAATTATTAATAATACGTTACAGTGTTAGCGACAGCTGTTTTTTTACTGACATATTCATTACCAGTGGATGTATAGAGTCAAGATTAACAGATTGAGGTAGAATCAAAGTGTAATTTACAAAACGATGTCCTCTAAAACTTTTATGGGGTTGTACATGCCTCCAAATTTCACCGCAATCCTTTGCCAATCGAGCAGCTTCCGACAAAATGGCTGACTGACGGAATGCATTACTCTGCATTTTCTGTCTGCTCAAACGTGAGGCATGAAAATTTAATGCGGAGAATGTCCCCGGATGATGACCGATTTGCACATTTCTCGTCGGCGGAGACGGTTCAATCTAAACCGTTGATTGCCATCACTATGGCAACCATTGACGTACATGTGGTAGGAGTATTTGATTGCTCCATGCCTCATTTACTAGGCCGGTATTCCTTTGTATTGATTTCTTGACTACGTGACTAACTACGTTGTGACCTGATCTCTCGTAAATCTGGTTCTGTACTAGAATGTCTTGAATTTGAAATCTGTTTTTGGAGAGGAAAAGCATCCAGAACTAGGAGTTACAATTCATTTTTTCTTCAACCTGAATGTAATTCTTTATTCATTTTAGCACAGATAACATTCAATTGACTTGTACTAGTCTGTAAACAGTTGGTATGAATAGACTTCAACATAACTAGTAATAGTGCTCTTCATAGTATTATTGTAACTCAGCGACTTATAATTTAGTCTAGGAGGTCATCAATGGCAAAAGAATTTAATTCAATTCCACAAATGAGGAAAGGCAAGTCGGAAAGTGTAATTAGTAAGAAAAGAGAATAGTACACAACATGTAATCATAATTTCCCTGTCCAACCTTCTTTGTGTAGTTAGGCATAGCGGGAGGTTAATTAAATCAGGTCCTGTGATTTAGTAGATTCCATTGTGTATTGGCCTAGAAATTGTTAGGATTTTTCATGTCAATGCTGTCATATTTTTTTACAAGAAAAAAGGTTTTGTTTCTGTTTATCCTAAGGTGTTAAAGCTTGTTTCAGTTGTAAATGAAAAATTGGTTTGTCCTTTTGTTATTACATTGTAAGTATTTAATAATTTGTTACCAGAAAAATGTGCCCATGATAAAATGCAAGTAAAGCGAAGGTGAACCACAAATGTATTGGTAGGTCATTGGATAATTGAGGTGTTCTGAGTGCCCCCTCCTGAAATCCATAAAATTGACTAGATGATTGCATGCTTAACCCATTATTCGCACAGTTGGTGCTGAAAACATGGCATTACCACCCGGCCCGATTATTCAATACCGGCGCATTGTCCAGCCAACCAGGACAGATCGCTTTCTGATTGAATTTTCATTGACCAGGAAAAGGCAACAAATTGATATCCCCCAATATTCTATGACACTTGCTGATGCAGTGGTACAGGCCCTGCATAACAATTAGGCTGTTATAATGTCCTAGGGAATACCATCGATAGGCTAGGAGACTGCAGCATGCTTGAATAATTCAGAAGTCGATATAGATGGGTGTTGTAGAGTTAGGCAAGTTGACTGCAGTGTCTGGTACATGCGAAATCAATGCACTCAACAAATGTAACAGTGATGAAATTGTCTGACAATATTATTACCTTGTAACAGGACTTTCAATGCAATCATTATGTGTAGGTATCCAGGTACAAAACAATTCTATAAATTGCATTACTGACTGTGCTGCGGTACAATCTGATAAAGATATTGTTGTGACAAATCAACTCAAATGAAATTTATCAGTGTATTGGCTGACATGTACATGTATGCCTTCATCAAACTTGTACAAAAATGTGTGATCTGTAACTAATAATAAATTTACTTGGACCTGAAATCTTTAAGATTAATGTATATCAAATCTTGCAATAAAAACTGTTATAATACATGTAGTTATGGGATCTATAAGTATAAAGTAATGTTTATTGTTTCTTTCAGGCTTTATGGCCCATAGTACACAGACACATATATAACAGGACCCAAACACATCTAAAAAGAGCATAAAAATATGTACAGGTAGATGTAAAAAAGACTACCAAGCTGTCCTGCCACAAGGAGGACCCCTTTAGTAAAGCAGCCTGTTTAAACTTAAAGATTTTCTAAATTGCTTGTAAAATTTTCAACTTACAACTTTGAGGGTAACACAGGAAAAACGTATTTCGAGCCCTGATTACATTTGTTTCAAACTTTCCCCGTTGTCAGGTGTTCTATGAGATAGGTGCGGTGCGCCCCCTGATCCGAGTGGCCAGCTCCTCCAGTAACCCCACGGCTATCAGGTTCGCTGTCCAGGCTCTGACCATCATAGGAGAGGAGATCCCATCCAAACTCAACCTCTCTGTACCTACCTGGTCTACAGACGACGTCCTGACTTGGCTCAAACAGATTGGCTTTGGTGGATTCAGGTATTTGTAGTTAGTGTAGTTATATGAGTTACAGTCACAGTTACTGTACAGAGCACGTCGGCAGAACATACTGCACCAGTGTGAAACCCACTGTATTGTGCATAGCACTTCGGCAGAACGTCTCATATAAGGTCGTATTTTTGTATATAAAGTTAAAATTCTCTCTGTGGTTTCCAAATTTTAAGTCGGAAAAGATGTCTTCTGCAACAGGCAAGATTCTGATGCAACGCTGACCAAAGATCCGATGAAAACTGTGAAAAGAACAGGTAATTATTTAGACCTTTTGGGGATTACCATAAGGCAAACAGATTTTTCAAACTTAAAAGGGAACAGTATGCAAAATGCTGTGGGAAATGAAACCTCTATATGATACCTAAGCCACCATGTTTTTTGCAGGGATGCCTTCAAGGACAGTCAGGTTGATGGAGACTTACTGCTGCTGCTGACAGATGATCAACTCCGTGACGATATCAGGATGTCCAACAGTCTTATCAGGAAAAGGTACAGAATTCTCATGTGTACAACTTCCATACTCTTTATCATAAGTGCTGTCAGAGTGCAAATATAAATCAGAGTAGTATGTAACTCAACGTGTAATTTTGGTTGAATGTGATAGATGGCGCTTCAGTACCATGTCACAACCAACCTCATACAGTTATACCAACTTAAATTCACAATTTGAAAGACAAGCCAATTTCTTTACCTTTGCTACATTTCATTTTCATTTACTGATATCTACTATGTAACTGTGTGTTACACTGTGTAACTCAATCTGTAATTTTGGTTGAACGTGATAGATGGCGTTTCAGACCATGGATACATGTCACAACCAACCTCATACAGTTATACCAAATTTGATTTACAATTTGAAGACAAGCCAATATTTTGACCTTTACTATGTTTCGTTTTCACTTACTGATATCTAGTATGTAACTGTGTTACCACTGTGTAACTCAATCTGTAATTTTGGTTGAAGGTGATAGATGGCATTTCAGTACCATGGATAGATGTCACAACCAACCTCATACAGTTATACCGACTTTGATTTACAATTTGAAGACTAGCCAATTTTGTGACCTGTGTTTCATTTTCATTTACTGGTACTCGTATCTATGGTTGATTAGCTTTTCAATTTGGTGAAGTGAAAACTGATGTTCAAATTTGCTTCTTTATTGTGAGGAAATCATCTGTGAGAAAAATATTTCACGTCTTGATGGGTGATTACAGTTTGCTGTTCAGATAAAATCTCAGGTTATTTAACTGGAAAATTGTAAGCATTTTACTGATTTGTTTCTACATTTGACTACACTGTTATAATGAAAAAAGACGTTTGCACCTAACAAAACAGTAACTGTACATTTACATGTAGACATGCTTTGCAATGTAAAAAAGAACCCTACGTATTCATAGAAAAGAGTAGGGGTGAACAGGTATGCTTGACAGAAAAACACAAGCTGTGTCACGGCTGCACTGCACTACTTAGCTCTAGCTATCAAAAATCAAAGCTGAATACGTTTCACCTAATTCTGAGGACAGATAATTTATCTGAGTGCATATCCAGCTGCATCAGGACAGTACAGCTGTTCCAAAAAGTCTTCTTGATCAAAGCGTTAAGTGATATTCTTGCTCCTTGAAGGGGGAACCTATTAACCTCTCTTAACATTCGTCCGCTAGGTTACATATATCCACCATGTCAGGGCTCGAAATTAAAGGTGGTCCAATGGCCACTGACCACTAAAATTTAGGCTAGGACAACTAAAACGACACATTGGGACATATTTCGGACAGTAGAAAAATAAGAAATGTCAGCCAAGACTCAGCTCTTCCTTTGTTTATCAGGCACACGTATCAGGCACACGTCCCGGCTATGGATCCAGAAAAGTCCCCCTGAATTTACTATATCTACACTGCAATTATTATACTGTGTCTGGGAGTGAACATAGCAAATTTTATAACGTTAACTTCAAGTTGAAGTCATACAATATTCCCAAAAAACAGGTTGGGACAGTTCATCCTCACTTTGGGACAATTGAAATTCATTTTTGGGATAGTGCTGGGACCATAGGAAGAAATTAATTTCGAGGCCTGACCATGTTGCAAAACAGCTTTTTTCCAATGATCAAAACGAATACATGCAAAATATTTAGAAGTGCACATTTAATTTAGAGTAAATGGGGGATGCTGAATTGGGGATCTCTTTAACTAGTACACAATTTTTCAGGGTGGTAGTTGTAACGTTATGTGGCCTGGTGGAATTATGTTAAAATACACTGTACGTTACATGAAAATAGACTGATCAAAATATTGCTGTTGCTACATTGTTACTGCTTATTAAAATTGATACCCCAGAGAAATTTAAAGGAAAATTTCAGTCACCATGTTTTATATCAGTAATTGTCCTCACAATCTGTTTCACTTCACAAAGCAAGTTTTAATCAAGACATTTTGGGGCTTCGCTGATGCCATGTCAGATCAGTTCCATGTATGTCAGGCAGTAACACAAAATATATTGGTGTGACATACCCCACAATCTCAAGCTGATTTTAATATACATGATTTGCAGATTGTTGATTCTTCCAGTGATTGCAAAAAGGCTGTGGTACAACTCACGGCCATGGTACAACTGGGCTAGCTGTGGTATAACTGGTTAATATAGTGCAATTGGTCATAGTGCAGTTGGACATGGTGCAACTAACTGCCCATGGTTGAATTGGCCATGGTGCAACTGGGTCATGGTGCAAATCTATCTGTGGTGCAACTGGGCCATGCTGGGCCTGTGGTACAAGAGGGTGATTCATCTTAATGACTTGGTTAATTATAATGCTTTTTAAGCTTGTTACCATTTATCTGCCAGGTTACATATTATATTACATTATATACATGTACCTGCCACCTTGAAAAAGTGTTTTTTTTTATAGATCTGTATTGCAACACCCCTCAGTGCACAGTTAATATTCAAATTAAAGATATACTTGCAAACCTAAGTTCCATCTATGAGTGGAAACTCAGCACAGCAGAAGCACTTCCTTCAGAGGGGGAACTACATCTGTTGTGCCTCCTTCCTTATTCCTTCTCAGAGGGTTCTTGGTGTCTGAAGGAAAAACTTCGAGACGAGTGTGATTCCTTCATACCAATTAAATCTCAAAGTCTCAATTAGAGACAGTCTGCTTCCAATGTGAAGCTTGTGCTTCCTGACTTAATCACTCCTATTAGTAGGATCTTGGGAGAAATGAAAGGCAGCAGGCATCCTGTCCTTATCCCTGGGCTAATTATGGGTGAAAAATCAATTATCCATGCACTGCCAAGGCATGGTACACTAAACTATACAATACTGTGTGTGAACTGTGCAATACACACTGAAGATTCCTGAATGAAACGTAATCCAATTTAAGGAGCGTTCTTTGATATTTCTTTGGGTACCATCCTGATTTATAATCAATACGTCCACTCCCACAGTCGCCATGATACAAGTACATGATTGGGAAAGTTCATCTGTGTTCAGCTTGGTAGTTAAGTTAAACTTTAGATCCATTTACAGAAAGAAGTTCTCTCACCTAGAACTTTTGACCAGTCACTCTGGTCTTCCTCAGTACTGAGCAGACTGATCCAGTAAGGCTTGTCAAGTGGCTTCTTTGAAGTGTGACATCAACACTGAGTCAAAGTCGCCAATTAAGCTGGTGTGTTATGCCGAAGGGCGGTTCTACTGGCTATACCGATATAGATACAGAAAGGTATCTGGTAGACAATGTCGGCTCCCGTTGCGGTTAAGTGAAGGATGATGGGCCCTGATGTATGATATATGATACGGAGTTTGGATCATGAAGAAGTGTGTTCCTGACTGTCAAGATTTCATCACGTTGCACAGCAGTGTAACTTAGAGCAGTAATGCGCAGTCTGTCTGACCTGGCTGAACTGCATGGAAGAACATTTTATAGCAGCCCTGAAGACTGTAGACCCAAATTACTTGTGTCAGTGGCTAAGGCTAGCAGACAAGGGATTGGCAGGTCAAGGGTCTGAAGACTTGCTAAAAGCTGGTTGTCCTTGGGAAAGGCACTTAACACGGCTTTTCTTACTCCACCCAGGTGTAATTGGGCACCTGACTTTGGTTGGAGAGGTAAAACTGTGCACATGGTGGAAGGAGAGGAATGCGCTGCGTATTCCAGCATGTTGGCAGAACGTTCTGCACCTGCCTGAAACCTGCAACGTATTGTGCATAGCACTTTTAATTGGCAGAATGTCATATATAAGGTCGTATTCATGCATATAAGGTAAACATTCCATCTGTACATGGAGTTTCCAAATGTTTTGTCAGAAAAAATATCATCTGCAACAGGCAAAATTCTGATGCAACTTTGACCAAAAATCCAACAAAAAACATGAAAAATAGGGGTTTGCGCAGGCGCAGGATGTTCTACTGATATGCTGGGTATTCCAATACCAGGCCCAAGACATGGTGGATTGAAAACCCACTGCCCCTACAACCTCAATTAGACTTTGGGATCTCTACCTTATCATTACATTAGACCCAAATTCCACAGAGAAAACAGTTGGTATGAGACTCAGGCTACGGACAGCCTATCAGTCCTGAGAGAACCTGACATGCAGCCAAATGTATCTAACTTTAGAAAATCCATCAAGGCCATTTCCTGTGGCACAGCTCTGGGGAATAACGCTGCTTTGGTCTAGAGCTATCAGACTGGGATCCGTCCTATTCAAGCTGTAATCTAGCTAATCTGACACCCGTCCCCATTCATACGTCCTTTATGTCATTCATGGGATCAGGTCTGGAATATTTCTCAAGCTGTAAACTGTGACAGGGATCAAACTACTGTCTGGGACCATGCTCTTATACAGAGGATTGTGTCATTCAGAGCCAGTCAGAGCTTCAGCTGTTTTACCCAACTATTCAGATTCAAATCACCCTCTATCACTAAAAGTTATACTTTTTAGCAGAGAATTTTAAGCGACCGGTACAAAATCAAAGTTCACCCAACAACATTTTGCAGAATGGTGAAAATTATGAGAAAATTTTGGACCCTCAAAAATTCTTTCATCACTTTTTTACTGCTGTCTACCACCAACCCCTGCATGCCGCGGAAAAATTTTGGTGAAACACAGTTAAAGGCGTCAGTCCGCTCCAAGATACAAACATCTAAAGCCACCAAAATGCCTGTCTGGCAGACACACAACTTCATGGGATTTAAGTCCTAAGCTTTGGTGACCCTGAGAGTAGTTGGAGAGGGCTGTCCCCCACTGATAGCCTGTATTTCCCACTAACTCGACAGTAAATTGTACCACCTCTGATAGCACAGGTGATAATGCAGCTCTTCACAGAGCTCAATTTTCACATGCATGCACAGACATAACAACTAAGGATTGCTCCTAGTCCTAGACCCAATTTTCCATCAAGATTGAGTCTACATTATAGCATCAAGTTGCTGATTGCCCTCTCCATGCTAGCTTTAACATACTGCTATGTTGTTGATAGATAGAGGATGTTTTGGACCTGTCATGTCTAGCATGTTGCTGAGATCAATTTAAGATGTTTTGGCCAAATTGCACAACGTCATGTATCTGTGTTATTTGATCCACCAGACTGAGTATTCCCCTTGGCATAGCATATCTGATTCAGTCACTTTAAGTTACAGGCACTGTAGGCAGCTGATTTATATGTAAGAATGAATAAATGTTACACACAGCTAGTCTTCCATATCTACCTCAAACAGTTGTTTAGCCATCTTAATATTCTTATGAAGAAGACCTTGATTGACATATTTGGTGACAGCACACACATTTGTATTATATGTAACCATTCAAAAGTATGAATTATTATTCTTACAACAAACAAAATCATATCTAATCTCGTATTCAATCGACGTCTTGACTGATACCTCTCAAAGAAATGCGTGTATGCATCCTTGACACAAATAGTCACTGAACAGAGATGGCAGTCAGTTTCTTTATGAATGGTGTACTGGACTTACTAAGTGCTTTTTGTGGAAGGTCAGTCCACTTAGCTTTTACTGACACAAATCATTCAGAAGATGTTAAATGTCTGTCCATTACTCCAAGAAATCTGCAAAGGAACATTTTATTATTCACATCACATATCGATTTTCGGTTTTTTCCAAAGTATCTCTCAGCAAGCTCAGGTTATGGTAATACCAATGTTAGTTTGTTTGAACATTACTCAGAAACTTTGGAAGATTCTTTATACAGCTTTTGGTAGCCTCCTGTGCAGGTCTCTGGGTGGGTGGGAGTTTTGATACTGCGTTTTTTTTGTAGAGTTTTTAATGACATTTTAACCAGTTGGAAGGCATTTCAGCACCAGGACAGTTCCAAACTGTTATTACCGATCAGCATGTAACAGACATGTATCAAAGCTAGTTATCTAAACGTAAATCAGGAAAACATGCGTATTTTGTACATAATATTAACATGGCGGATGGAAGCAATCTCTCGGCGGCTGGTTGTAGGATGGCCGGCAATTAAAAGAACGTGTAAAAAAACTCTACAAAATGCAGTATTAAAACTTCCACCCGCCGGAGGGCCTGCACAGGAGGCTAAGCTTTTGGGTTGTACACGGTAGTTTGGTATAGGATATGGCTACAATTAATAATGGATTACATTAAAGGACCTGTACTATAGCAGATATTTGATACTGTGCAGATGGTAGAAGGTACTGTTTGAAACTGCCACATCTAATATCCAAATCATTTCAGTATCAGGATTTTAACAATAATGTCTCCACTCTATTCGAGACGAACATTCTTTGTAACCTGTCACACCCCATGTTTGTATTATTATGTATGGGGGGAGGGGCTTGCCACAAGGTTTTCTTTGTATGTTTTTATGTATTATGTTATTATTATATTTCTTTAATAAACGAAAAAAATTTAATGTCTCCACTCTTCAGGTTTCTAAGAGAACTGGTGGAGCTGAAGACAAATGCAGACTACTCAAGTTGTGACTCGACCAAACTGCGACGCTGGCTGAGGAGGGTGGGGCCAGAATACATGCAGTACACCTACCACATGGTGCATTGTGGGATTGATCGAACCACCCTGGAGTGGCTGACTGAAGACCACCTCCTGGAGGATTGTGGGATAGCAAACGGTGTTCATCGCATGAAAATTCAAAATGCCATAAAAGGTATTGTTAATGTTTTATTACAAAACAACACAGTGGCATTTCAATGTCACTAAGTTGTAGCACTTTCTTTCGTGACAAGCCACTGTTTGTTCAAGTTCAAACCTTCATCTGTAATTGCTACATTTGCTGCTCGTCTCTGATCAAATGCTGAAAAATTAATGAATGTCTTTTGTTCACATTTCAAATGAAAGAAAGCTTTGCTGACATAAGGTCTACATTTTAACTGAAATAATGATTTTTATGCAATTTTTATGTTCCTGTCAAATATTTCAAGGTGACAGGAACATAAAAGTTGCATAAAAAATCATTAGTTAAGTTAGAATTATACCTTATGTCAGCAAAGCTTTCTTTCATTTCAATTTGTGAATGCAATGTATCTTGGCAGCCTATTATGTGAGCCATCCACTGTTCTAAGACCACATTATACAATAATATACATGTTTGTCTGGCTCAAAGCTTTTGATATGAGTTCTATTTGAAATCGAAATCTAAGACTCTTGAGTGTGCAGTTTTTGTCGAACACTATTAATTTTTATTGTTATATTTATAATGGAATGGCTCTAGTTGAATGCCCTAATTAAAACCCAATTTTCATTGTTAGAAAGACTTTGAGTTGACTTTAATTATTTTGATTATTATGCTCCAATTGATTATTATACTCAATTTGTTATTTTTTTTACCCCTAGCTGGATCTCGTAAGTTATAAGCTATTATCTTGATTGTTTATTTGATTTGTTAATTTTGATGATTTTTTTTGTAGTCTTTGATCTCTGTTTCAATGCAAATTGCTTTTTTTAATTCAATAATTTTGACGAATTTTCACACAATTATTTATTCAGACATGTCATATTTTAACTTTCAATTTAATATATATTTTCATCAATTGTCCATAGGTTTGTTCCCCCTGTCCTCTGAGACATCCAGCCCATCCAAGGAGAGTATTGCCCCCAAACTGGACGTTTTCATCAGTTACAGAAGAGCTACTGGTTCACAGTTAGCAAGGTAACTTGCACTGGAGTCTCTTTTGTCACTACATATTACATGTATCAGGGCTCTAGCTAGCACCCGTTTTTTCTTTGCAGCATCTGATGGAAAAATATAAACCCAATCTGTCAACCTTGACAGAATCAACAAAAATCTAGGGTAAAAATATAAAAACATCCAAAGGACCACTGACAACCATTTTAACCCCATGATTTCGATCATGATCCTGGGCTGATGAAAAAACATTTGGAGCTGGCTAGAGCCCTGACATGTATTAAGGGAGTAATAATTTAAAATCTAGAATAACCAGTGAAGGCTCATGCATTCCATTTGCTGCAAAAATGGCTACAATAATCACATGGTTCATGATTTCAACATGTCCTTTCCAATTTTGGTAAACTATGTACTAAGATCTTGTCAATGTGTAACGTTACTTAGATTTTTTTTATGTTCATATTTTGTCGCAATTCGTAGCTTGTTGAAGGTCCACCTTCAGCTTAGAGGGTTCAATGTCTTCATTGATGTTGAGAAGCTGGAGGCAGGAAAATTTGACAACAAACTTCTGGAAAACGTCAAGAAGGCCAAAAACTTCATCTTGGTCCTGACGCCTAATGCACTGGATAGATGCCTTACAGACACAGAGGGAAAGGACTGGGTGAGAAAGGTAAGATAAATGTTAACTTGTCAGTTTTAGGAGGTGTTACTGAAAGTTGGAAGCCCCTGTCATCTATGTTGATCTTTGCACTGAAATGTAAAGAGTGACATTTTTTGGTGTCAAGCATGATTTTTGCCTGGAAAACTTACCACTGCTAAGTGACTTTTTTGCCGATGGCTATTTGTACATGTATATGGTGGTTCATACGATGGTGTTTCAAGAAGAGTTAGTAAGGCAAGTGACTGGGTAAATTTGCATTGCACCCCAGCTATCGAGCAAGCATACAATTACAAGAAGCATCTCAAGCACTATATATCTAAGCTACGCTTTGAGATAGACGGAAGAAGTTGGCCGTCATGTTTACATGACATTGTACAAGTTTTATATATATATAATGGTTCATACATAACTTTTATGCCTAGTACAAAGTCTTCAATACATGTTACAGTTCAGAAAATGTACCTCTTAGGGCCTACATTACTAAGATATTTCCGAACAAACAGAGCAAAGAAGAAATTGGAATAAAGGGCATCCTGTTGTTTGTTCAGTTCCTTTATTCTTACAAAGAAGAGCAGTTTAGATCATGGTAGATTATTCCCACGGTAATTAGTAAAGACTGTTTTTGACAGATCTTGCTTTATCAGTACTATAAAAAGTCCCCCTTCCTGTGCAAAATGTCCCTAATATAATGTCTTCTCTTGTCCCATGCCCATGCTTGAGGGTTGGGGACTATATAGTACATGTCTGTATGGTACACATCTTTCAGTGTAATCCTTAGAAGTTCCACTTGAATGGATCTGGCTTTGTAATACATTACCTTAAGGGGTTTTGTGCCATTAAGAAACTAAGCTTTTGTTTGAAACTGCAAAAGGCTTTGAAAGTGATGAAACATTTTGGATTTGTTTATTTTGCTTGATCTCTCAGATAAATAACCTCACCCTATGGATTTCTCTTCTTGAAGAGTAATGATCAAAGACGTTTTAAGACTTTATACAATCTGCTTCACTGGACTTGAAAGACACCTGTCAGGTTTTGTAGACTTGGTTTTAAAGCTAAATGTCAGAGGCCATTAGGGTGAGGTATGGACGTAATTGTTAACATCAAAGGCATCAAACATTATGAATGTAGCCCTTACATGTACATGTATATAATGGCCATGTGGACAAGCTTTGTTCCAAAAGCAAAACCCATTAGTCATGAAAGAATTGGGATTGTTCACCTTACAATGATGTAGCCATCATACTAATCAACTTGCAGGCAGATTGTGACTTTGAAAACTTTGTTGTTGGGTCCCTCAGCCTAAACTTGAATTTGGATGTAGTTATGTTAACCAAATTGCTTCGCTGTTGCTTAGCTTGAAGAGTTGCTGCATCAATATTCTGACAACTGAGAGACAGGTACTTTAATTCACTGATGCAGTGGCAAAAATCTTTCATGGCATAGCAGCTAGCAAGCCTTAAACTTGATCATTTGACATTTAGAGTTAGATTGAAGCCAGATGCTCACTGACATGACCAATATATGTATCCACAAATGTCTGTATGTGCAGTGATTTGATAACTTAAGCAGCAGTAGCCTTGGGCTATGCAAGATACATGACTGTATGGAACTTTTGGCAGGCAGTAAAATTATGATAACTGTATTAAAACATTTTTCCTCCAAATGATAGTAATACAAAATGTAGCTACTGTGTCAGAACTGTCATAACTGTCAACCAGAGCAATACAAATTATCATATTTTGTGGGTTTTTTTTCTGGCTGATTACTGCTAATCTAACTGTTAAATCACCATGAAGCATGACAAAATATGATACAAATGTTTGTAATTCTGAAGGATGTGCTGCACTTAATGTGAAAATTACAGTCAATTAGCAATCAGCTGCGGCATCAGGGCTACATGTATATGTTGAATTGATTGTAACAAATGTGCTGAACAACATCCATGTTTCAGCTTCTGTGACTGTAATCCTAAGAGATGCTTTCCGTATACAAATTTGGTGCCATATGGCAACAGTTTACGTCTTTATTTTAGAAAAAGGAGAACAAAAGTCATATTTTAAGGATGTTCACAGTTCCATGAAACAATACAGTGCTGTATGTACATGTACAATCAATTATTGTCAGGTATTTTCCTAGATTATGGTATTGGAGATACATATATCTCTGGCATACCTGGCAACATCTTGCTGTACATGTACATGTAGATGTTATAAAAAAATGATTCCATCCTGCAGAACTGAGAGAAAACTATGATTTCTAGATGTACCTTGTACTATAATTATTATACATGTAAGACTTGTATGTTTCATACAGGAGATTGTTGCAGCCATTGAAAGCAGCTGCAATATCGTTCCTGTCATGTCTTCCTTCTACTGGCCCAAACCAGAAGATCTCCCAGAGGACATGAGGGCAGTGTGCTACTTCAATGGCATCAAGTAAGTACATGTACCATCATTGTTCAGGACAACATGTACATAATTTATTTTTTTACTGTGGCAAGCAATGTTTTTGCGTCAACATTAGTGTTTTAAAATGTATGACTGATTTAGACAATCATCTAATGATAATCATAACATAAATAGCATGTAAAAGAATAATGGAAAGGAAGCAGGAAGATGACAAGGTACATATTATCACCAAGACTTAGTACTTTTTTTGTATAAAAACATAGTATGATACCACTCGTGTGTTCCTTCAGGAATATTTTGACTCATGAATTAACCAGAGCCTATCCACATCTTCAAGGCGATCAGACTGAGTGTGGCTGTAGCAAAAGAAAAGTTATTATACGGTCATGTATACGTACAGGCCATCATGATGAATTCATTCTGTAGGTAGCATACATGCCCATGTACAGTATCAACTTACCTTAGTGTTAGGATAAAGTTCTGCTATCATGAAATGGTTTTCTTCTTTTTAAATGTCTTTTTAAAATTGACGTATTGAAATCTTGATGCAGACTCTAACCAGACCATGCAACACTCATTGCATAAGTTTTCATGTGCCATCTTCAAATTCAAATTTTGTTTTCTTCGTTCTCACTTACTCCTAGCTTATTGCACTGCCAAAGGTGTCTCCCTTATCAACTGCTTAATGCATTTTTTTCTTCCATCAACCGTATCCTCTCTGGTGGCTGAGGCTCATATTGCCTTTCTATATTCAGTATTAGAGGGGCTTATGTCATGCTGTTTTCATTGCAAAGGCTTGACAGTTGTCGTGTCCTTCCATATGTTACATAATCCAATGTGCATGAAGTAAAAGCTGATGTGTTGTACTGAAGTACAGTTATCTGGCTATACAGATACAGAATATGATTTCTCAAAAGATGTATTCTTTTTAAGGGATAAAGGGTTACTATATTGTAATCTTATACAAAATGATTTTTGTATGATGAAGATGAATGAGACAGCAGATGACGAGTAAAAACATTTTATCTTCCAGCAGATCCTCTGTGACAGTTCAGATTAATGATGATTAACCAATCTTTGTAACCTGATCTTTTGAGTGCCCAAAAAAGAAGGATCGCCACAGAACATCAAGCTTATTATTTTGCTCTTGAACCTGCTCCCTGCAGACTGATACTTTAACCAAGAAGAGAATTGGTCGCCAAATGACTTACCTCATTCTGCTAATGATGAAAAGTTCTTTTGATTCAACAACTTTCCACAACTTTTATCACACGAAAACTTTAATTTTTGATTTTGTATGCTTATTGCTCACTCACAATCACTCTATCTGGTTTATCGTCGTTGTTCCCCATCTTCCAAGGGTTAGATGTGCTTGCACTGCAATACTAAGGCTTGATGGCACTGCCTGCCATTTGCCTCTGTCCTGTGGTTTGACGTTATTTTTTATCTTTATTTTATTTTATGAAGATTTACCACATTTGTGGAAGGATTGACATAACAGGTGACTATCACCTCTTCAAGATGTCAAACCTGAGACCAGACTGTAAGGTTTGAACCACTCTCACCAGGAAGGTCACCTACTCTTTTCGATAAGTGTGATGGGTTCTTTAACGTGCGTGGGGTGTGGCTCTCCCAAACACGTTATGTAGTTATGCAGATTCAAGTGGTGGAAGTCCTCCCATACATTGTCAAACCTTTTCTTCTTTGGTCGAGGGATTGGGCCTTCCACATCCAGTGTGAGGATCTTCTTAGGCCATTTGTCACTGTCCATTCTTTGGAGGTGGCCAATAGTATTATCTTAGTCAGTTAGATCTCACTATGTCCTGTATGTTGTATGTTATGGACTCCAAGCCTAGTTCGTCATAATGTCTCGATAATATGAGCTAAACATATAGATCGCATTGATTGAATGCCTTGTTAGATGCATTTCAGTGTCTATTTTTGCAGTGAAGTTTGATTTCAGTTCTCAGAAAATGATTGGCGTTTCTCCTGAATGTCAATGGAGTTCCATTCCTGCAGACTTGAAGTTGTTGTGTAATTGGAAGTTTTCTTGATAAGTTCCAAACGCTGGTTTAGTTTAACATTGTCTGGAAGCAATTTGAATCCAGGACAGAATCAGATCAAAAACTAGACAAGCCACCTTTTCTCATGAGATTTTTACATGCATTTCACTGTACTAAATAAGGTCGAATATTGAAGATCCTCAGCAGGGCTTATGAGATTTCATTTTATAACAAGTCCCTAATGTGTTGCTGTGACAGGAACAGACAGGCAATTGAGACTTACTTTGACCAATTGCAGTGTTGATGACGTCAATGTGACATCACGCCAATGGGCAAAAATCATATTCTTGCAATTACTAACTTCCAGGAAAAAAACATTAGAAAAGAACATTCCATACTCAACTACAAGGTGATTTTAGAACACCCCAAAAGTCCTCAGAGACCCCTGGAAAGTACCTTATCTGCCAGGGTATTTTTGATGTCGTTATTTGCTCCTATTGAGTTTAAAATACTGGATTTAGTTTTAGTACCAATGACCAGATGCAGCTTGCATCCAGGAAGTCTGTTCCTGCGAGATTTTACATGCATTTTAATGCACTAAATAAGGTTGGAAGTTAATTCTTAACAAGGCTGAGTGGGAAGATACTCAGCAGGGTTCAAAAGATTATTCCTTGCATAACAAGTCTCTCGTGCGTTGATGTGAAAGGGCAGACCGACATTTGAGGCTTACTTCGACTAATTGCGGTGGTATTTAACTGCCAGGTCCTTTTTGTTCCTGAACTTTGACTGTTCTGCCTGTTCTGAACATTATGCTTTTAAGCATTACTCTCAAGGTAATTTGCAATATGGGCAATCATATCCAATAAATTGTACAGTTTTAAGTGAACATGCATTGCTGGCATTCAGAATTCATGATATACAATTTTTGGAAACGTTCTGGTGTAATACTGATGGTTTTCCATCAACGTCATTGACTCACTTAACAACAGCCAGGCTTTCAGCACCAAGAACAGCAACACATCATTTTGATGGTTTTTAAATGTATTAGGTTATGTTGTTACATTTGTGGGCCAGTCCACTTGTACATGTACATAAAAATCAGGTTTGATTATGATTGATTGCTATTTTCAGTAACATGTGTCATAGTCAAAGGCATGAAGTAAAATGTCAATAAATCTTCTAGCAACGACAGTACTTTCATATTGTTTAATCTTTATTTCACTGCTTTCTTCAAGTAATTAAACATTTTTTTCATTCAAATTATTGTAAGCTAGGTAGAAATTTGACATCTTCTATACTTCAGGTACTGGCAGATTCCTCCTATCAGATTCCTCTTGTGAAAAAGCATTTTGTGACCCACAGCTGCACACTTTGTCCTGACCTTTTTGACTGCAATTCCAAGTGTCACAAATCAGTGAAGTCAGCTGTAGACCTCTCACACAGATGTCAGAGCAGATTTGGCCTTTCAGTTACACACACCATTACACTCACACCTCCTGGGCCTTGTGCGAATTACCCAACCTTTCAGAATGAATATATTCATACACATGTACACTTAACCAGATTTTGGCCTAATCTTTTGTTCACCACCACAAAGATTCGAGTTTCATTTACAAGTTTTTGTTTCTTTTTTGCACAGACTCGTCATTGCACAGAAGTACATTTCTGAGGTACTATTTCTAGATACTAGTCCACACACATGCAATTAACCCTATTCAGTCCAGGCTTTTTTTAGGTCCGCCTCCTGTAACTCAACAAGCACTTATCGTAAGACCACCAAATTTTCAGAGAATGGTGTAATAGTAAAATTAAATCATACATGTGTCAGCAACTTTGTTTTGTGTCATTATGATATAATAATGACATAATTTATGTGAGTTTTTGGATTAAAAACCGGCAAAAATAGGTTTTTCCTCAAAACTTTATCAAACCAAACATTAACAAGAAATGTCTATGATAGAATATTAATGTGTACTATGACTTATTGCTCCTAGCAACAACAATAATATATGTCAAGATGCATATTCAAGCTATCTGCCATCATAGGAGATGAAAGTTGGCATGGGCCTCAAAAGAACGCCCCCCCTCCCCACACACACTCAGTCTGAATAGGGTTAACACACTGAGTCCATAAGAGAATACTTTGGCAGTTGATAGATACCAGTAGAAGTGGACTGTTCCACAAATGTAACAACATAATCTAATACATTTAAAAACCTTTGAAATAATGTGTTGCTGTTCTTGGTGCTGAAATCCTGGTTATTGTTAATTGAGCCAAAGACGTTGACGGAAAACCATCACTATTACACCAGAACCTTTCCAACAATTATATATCATGAACTCTGAATTGCAGCAATGATTGAGTATAGATTTGCTGCTGTTTGTGACATAGATTTATAGCCTGAATGGTAAATGTGCTCACAGTTTTGTCGAAGGGTATTTGTTCTTTAAGTCATGTACATCCATAGTGTAAAAAGTTTTGCATAATCTTGTTAACTTTCATGCTGTTTCAGACTGTGTGTGGTAGCTGAGATTTGATGTGGATGGGTTAGACCAATGATGTCAGGCCAGACATGTATGTTACTTCTTGTTTTTGAACAGCTAGTGCTGAGTTTCAGCTGTGCATACAGAACAGGAGAAGTGCATGTTGGGATGTGTCAATCATGAATGTTTGATGCATTGCAAGAGATCAAAGTTTTATAACCCTAAGACCACTGCCAAATGCCTTGCTATACATGTATTTCCCATCTGCTTTGAACTAAACACATGCTCAGACAAGATTTGTTGTTGTAAAACATCAGGAATGTTTGATGTATTTCAAGGGATCAAAGTTGTGCAAGCATAAGACAACTGTCAAATACTATGCCATTACCTGTCTGCCTTTTGTTAAACACATGTTCAGCACAAAGATTTGTTATTTCAAGATATGGGTTGCAAAGTAGTTTTGTGTATTTATATAGCCATTATGTAGGTATAATGTTAAAATGCACGTGCATTAGAAGCTAGCTCCTGAAATTTTTGTTT